AATAGTGAAAATTATGAATTCCAAAGAATGCACTCTAGAAAATTATCCATTAACTAGGGGAATCAGATTTGATATTTCTCACATGTATTTGATAATCATTGATGTAAGAAAAATGGGGTAACTTGTTTAAGTGAATTTTAAGTACTAAAATGCATCAAAATGCAGGATTCTGGGTGCCGGACCCCCCCCCTTACTTGGCTTCGATTATTTTCAGGATTTTTAGGAAAGGGACACTTTCATCTCTGTTATATGAGCTTATTCTGTTGAGCAACAAATTCAGCCCTTTGCTTCTGCAAATTAAGAACTGTTGGAGGGAAGGAAAACAAAAGGGTCAGAGAAGGATGTGAATGATAAGGAGGTTAAAGTTATAGGTGGTTCTTTGACAAGGCATGTGGAAAGAATAGTCTGTGAGGTAATTAGGGAGAAAAGAATCAGATTATGCTACTCAGGAGCACAGGTGGATGATATAACTGACAGAGCAGGAGATATAATAAAGGGGGCTAGCAGAGATGCAGTTTTTGTGGTGCATGTAGGGGCTAATGATGTAGGGAAAGGTAGGTTAGAGGAGCTAATTAATAAGTACAAGGTGTTGAATAAAGCATATAAAGAAAGAGGCCAAATCTTAATTTTGTTGGGGACACTGCCCAGTATTAACTGTGGGGATGAAGTTACAAGTAGGTCACTAGGGCTAAATACTAAGCTTAGGTTAGTATGTAAGGATGAGTAGATTGGCTGGTTGGACTTGTGGGATCAGTTCAGTGGAGGAAAGGAGCTTTTTGGTTTACATTTAAATAGGGTAGGGGCTGGCTTGTTTGCTAAGGCTCTTAACTGTAAGGGAAGTTTTAAACTATTACAAGACAGTGGTGAGGGCCAGAAAATACTCAATTCAAAAAGAATGAGGCAGAGAAAAGTTTAGTATGGGAAATGAGTATGGAAGTAGTTATAAGGATAGGCTTAATTGTTATTATTGTAATGCTAGAAGTATAAGAAATAAATAGATGACTTTAGAGCACTGGTAGGAATGGAGGATTTTAATAACAAATTTCTTTGAAATACAGGGTTACAAGCTATTTAATAGGGATAGAGTATTAAAGAGGGGTGGGAGAAGTGACTTTATATGTAAAATGTGTGTTACATCCTATTGAAGTTGAGGATATCTAAGGTAATAGCAAGAAGGTTGAATCCATTTGAGTTTCTACTAGTGGATATAAAGGGAGAAGGCTTTTAGTGGGAATTTGTTACAGACCACCAAATGATACAGATGAAATTAGGGAGAAACTTTACAATGAGATTAATATTTCAGCTGTTAATGAAGTCATAATTGTGGGTGATTTTTGATTTCAGGCATATAGATTGGGAAATGCTAGAGTCAAACCAGGAGGGAAAACTGTTTTTGGAAACTGTTCAGGAAGCTTTCTTCACCAATTAGTCAAGGAATCTACTAGAAACAATGCTATTTTAGACTTATTAACTTCAACTATAGAAATGATTGAGAGGGTGAAAATTGGGGAAACATCTGGGTGCAAGTGATCATTGCTCTATTAGGTTCTATGTTTTGCTGCATATGTGGATAAGGGATAATGATATTTTGGTTACAAATTCCAAAAAAGGAAATTTTGAAGGGATGTGACAAGAATTATCTGTTGTGAATTAGGCAGTTGTATTATTTGGAGACACTGATCAGATGAAAGAAAGAAAAGGCTAGCTGCAAATGAAAAAAACCAGGTTGGCTCACAAAGAGTTTGAGATATAATTAAAGAAAAGCATTATAAATTTAAGAAATTTAAATTGACTGGTATGACAGGAGATTCAGAAGATTATAGAAGATCAAGAAAGTTAGTGAAACAAGAAATTAAGACATCAAAAAGGTTGGCTGAAAATGTAAAAATTAACAGTAAGGATTTCTTTAAATACATCAAGGGTAAATAAAACGTTAGGATGGGGTAGAACCCTTGAGAGATGATAAAGAAAAGCTAGTATCTGATAGTTATGACTTGTTTTTTTCTTCAGTTTTTACTCACGAAAATTTAAGCAGTATTCCACATCTTGAACAGTTGATAAATGGAAATGAGATCAAACAAGATGACTGTATTAATTCTGAGCTATGAAGTTTAAAATATTATAAGGCTCCTGGGCCAGATAATATTTCCCCAAGGGTTTTGAAGGAGGTTAAAGATCGGATATGTGAGCCACTTACTACTATTTTTTGTCAGTCTTTGAATAGTGGGCAGGAACCAGAGAATTATAAGTTAGCTAATGTAACTCCTCTTTTCAAGAGAGGTGATAAAAAATTGTCTTGATAGTTATGGATCCATTAGTCTTACATCAGTTGTGGGAAACGTTTAAGAAAGTGTTAAAAGTCATTTATTAAAGTTTAGAATTTTATTGGATAGTCAACATGGTTTCACTAAGGAAAAATTTTGCCATACAAATGTGTTGACATTGTGTGAAATAATTAAATAATATAAAAAGGTATAGTTTTAAAGTGAGCTGTTATGATCTTAGTACACTTTAATCTGCACTTACGTGATGATATCATGTGATGTCAGATTTCACAAGATGATACAATATCATGCCAGATCTTGCATGGTATTACCATATGATGCTAATTTCTTCAAAGTACTGCTAATTAAAATTTATTTAATCCTACATGAAAAGATTAATACTTAGAATTACTAATTTAACATTATTTAAATTATTAAGAAAGTTGGTTCAGATTGTTTTTAATGTGGTATAAATTGCTTTATTTATCCTTTATGACTAAGAACCAATATTTTTGATTTTCATACGAGTAGAACTGTTATACTTGGGCAGCTGCATTACACATAATATATAAGAATTATATTTTACTACACTGAATATAAAGAAGTAATTTTATGTCTTCAATTTGATGTATTGGAGCTATGTTTTCTCTCTCTCTCTCTCTTCACTTAACAGCAAATACATCAAGCACCTCAATCAGCAAATCTATCAGGTCCACAGCAGTCTTCTAAAGATATGTTCAATCCCAGTTTTGATCATTTGACCAATTTAACATCTGACCTACATGATCTTTCCATCCAGGAGACTCCTACACCTCAGACTCATTCTCGGCTTTCCCAGTGGAAGTTACCAACTTTGGACAAGGAGGAAAGAAACTCTCCTATGGGAAATACTGAAAGCAACAACTTAGGAGATTTTAGCCGTGCTCCTGGAACTATGTCCAAGCCTGCAGCTTCAATGCATACTTCACATTCTTCATCTAACATGCAGTCTCTAATAAGTAATCATGATAATACCTGGTCTAGTCTACCACACACTTTGAACAATGCTGAAACCTGGCCCGAGTCCTCCTCGCCTGCTGACACTACTCGTAGTACTAGAATTGGCCCTTCAAACAGCAATCTTAATATAAGTAGCTCTGCTTCAGTAACGTCCTTAGAACCAACAAGCAACATTACCAGCAGTGTTTCAGATAATGAAGCAAAGGAAGCTACAGCATCTACTTGTTCAGTTTCTAGCTCAAGTTCCCAGCCCTCTTATAACTTGAATGACCTTGTGACAGAATTTGAACCTGGGAAACCTTGGAAAGGTAATTCACGCATGAAAAACATTGAAGATGATCCTCACATTACTCCAGGGAGTGTTACTCGATCTCCTCTCTCACTAAATACTATTAAAGACACAGACTTGTTGGGTTGGACTTCTAAATCCAGACCTCTCACTACCAGTAGTGGAGACTCCCTTGTAGCATCACTGGCTTCTTTGACTTCAAACCCATGGACATTTAATTCAGCCTCATGTAATGGAAGGTAATAGTAAATTGTAATCAAATTTTATTTGGAAGTATATGATTTAGAAATATAAAAAAAGTGTATTCCTTGTTGTCATTTTTTTAATCATGTGTTTTTGTCAAACTATTTACTCATTGGTTATGGTTACTTCTAACTTTCACAGATGAAAAATGATAACAGACTAATATTAGTGTCATTCTTTGAATTTAACACATCCATTTATTTATTATAACCTGACACTATTCTTGAGCATTTTTATTATTTTTGTTATATTTTTTTTAGAATCTTTATTGAACTTGAATGTATCACAAAAGTGAGGTTGAAATATATTGTCTTAACCCTCTCACAATAAGTAGGTCAAAGTGCACATACCATGTCATTTTAAAAGTTACAATCAAAATCTAATTATACTTTATTATTGATGTATACAGATAAACTAAGCATCAAAACGTAGGTAATAAATCGAATTTTAATATCATGTAAGTTTTAACTTCCTAATTTTATAAGTAAATATTGAAAAGAATCTTCAATCTCCCCTGGTATGAGAATTTTGACATTTGATCTCTAGGTATTCCTCCTTCTCTGAAGTATGGAATTGAACATAAATTACTTACTATAATATAAATATTACTAAGGTAAAGTCTAATTGTTATACCCTTCAATCTTACTTGTTTACAGTCATAAACTTGCCATGCCAATCTGTCACATCCTATATTTCACAGATTGCAAATAGTTCTCTTTGATATTTTATACTACATAATTTATAATCAATAGACAAAGTTTTAATCTACCGGAGGACATATAATGATACGTTGTTTTAGTACAGAGTATTGTCAATTTCATCTTCAGTTCAAAAGTTTATCTCGTGGTGTTCAGATTGAGAAGCTAATAGAATTAATCTAAGCTCCTCTTCTCTTGGATAGAAAGCCAGTTACCTTATAAGACATTGTTTGCTTTGTGTGTATTATTGTTCTTTTTTACTCAGGTGCATTATTTAAGTAAGTAAAATTTATTTACTGTATTAGTACCATCATTATATTAAAAAAAAAAGAATTTTGTTGGCAGCCAATAACAAAAACATTTGTTTGTTTTTTTTTTGTATATTTTTTATTTATTGTTATAAAAATGTGACCTCTTTATACTCGTTTAAAGTCTTTGTACACTTAACACTTTTGATATGGGTCATGGGTGAAAGGCCATGTCATCTCGTTTGTTAACTCTCATTCAGAATTTTATTGAGCTACTGTTTCATGAATTTATGTCAATAAGTTTAGTATAAAACTGTAGATTATAATTCATATTTAGCACTATAATATTACTCAATTTCTTAATTTAAAAGTAAATGTTAAAGAAATGCAGATCAACATCAATTTTTGTTTGTCACGTGATATTTTGAATGCAGCACTGGTTCAACTTAGATGTTTGTGAAGTCAAAATACTAAGTCTATAGTTTTGTACAAATTAGAAACTCAAGTTACCGATATTGAGCAGCTAGAATATAAAATAAGGTCTTATCTTTTCTATTTCCTAAGATATTGCTCATGTAATAAATGAAACACGGTAGCACCCTGCCTACCTCTTTCCATTTTTGGAAATACTCCCTTATATTCACTTCTATATATGACATGAATAACCAATCAAAAGCTCAGAATGTCCCCCTAGTGGCTCTCTCAGCCATTTTAAATTTTTATGATACCATTTCTTTCTTTTGAGCCAAGATTTCAAGGGGGTAAGGTATGTCTGTAATCTGCTTGCAATTTCATATATGTTTTTAGATTAGTTACTGAGCTTGATAAATTATAGTGGAATTCTATGGTATTGATGTAGTAATTTATGATTTTTTAGTTATTCAAATGTATATATGAAACCAAAAAAAAATTGTTTCATATATTCCGCAT